AAAAAGTTGATGAAAATATTACAACAAAAATTTTAACAAATAAGGACGGGCAGGACAGAACAGTATTACAACTCCACCTCGTATACGGAAGGCAGTACAAACTAATGAGTGGAAGATAATTCGTATGTTAATATAAATTTATATTATATTCCATAGACTAAATTAGTTTAATAACCATATTATAATTCCCGTCAGGCAAAAGTACAATAATGAGTTGATGTGGAAAACGTCAACTAGGGAACCGAAATTCATTATATTAGGGATAGAGGTTTAGATCAAGGTATAGAAAAATTCCATTCAAATTCAGCGCTAAATCAAATAATTTTTAAGAAACATATTTCGACCAACTTGAACGATTTAAATGCAGGTAGAATGACGGAAATCATTGTATGGGTTATATATATAGGGAATAGAGAAATAGACGTGCTGATTTCATTAATTTTGGCATTGCTCTGGTATACTCGAGAATATATTTTGGAGAAATTTTATATGTAAATAAAACTCACTGACCGACCACATTCGGCAACTTGTTTGAATATCCAAAATCATTATATGGTATGACATGATTTTATAAATTTTTGCTCATACCACATGCTACAGCCTCACAAAGCGCTCCCAGGATTTCATTAAGGCACCTTAAATACCATATCCAATCATACAAAGTCAGCGAGATGTTTGAAAATCATGATATTAGTTATTTGAGGGCCAAGTTTTCATCTGATTTTATCCATTTTAAACAAAAGTACACAGTTATAAGTAAAAGAAACATTGATTGGGGCTTGATTGGTATACTAGAAAGTCCAGATGGAATTTAAAATTGTGTGATATGTGAATGTGAACCACGCCTAGTTGTAGTCTGATTTCGCCCATATTCCCACTGTGACATGAATATGTCATAAAAATGTTATGTGCCGAATTTGATTGAAATCAGTCGAGCAGGTCCCGAGATATGTGATTGCACCTAAATGTAGGCGCTGCCACTCCCATCCTAGACGTAAAACTATATGTCTCTTACACATTTCGTAATAGATTTATCGCACTTTTAGCGGTTTATATTGGGAGTGGGCGGGGCTATAATCAGATTTTATCCATTTACATATTGTCGGAGGAACAGTCAAAAATATACCTTATTTGTAAATTTTGGTAAAATAGCTCGAAAAGAAATATTTATTTAAATTAAACTTTTTTGGGCGGGTTCATGCCTACTTTTCAAAAATTTTGACAACTAAGATGCCCCTCCTTAATGCAATCCCAAAAGACAGGTTTATATCTTAATTTTGTGCTTAATTATGGCATTTTATAGGTTTTCGAGTAATGGCGCTTTGTGGGCGTAGCAGTGGTCTGTCTACAATGTCAAACTTCATATTGTACCATGGAACCTTTGTACCAAGTTTCATTAAGATAACTTAATTTTGAATCAAATTACAGTTTGCACGGACGGACAGAAAAAAAGACAGAGAGTCACTTGTCTCATCGTCTTGATTATTTATATATATTGTAACGGATTTCTCGATAAATCGTATACCTGTAACTCACTCTTGAGTTTAATCACTGGATTGTTAAATAAAAGTCCCAGCTTAATGGCTATCCACTTATCTAATCCAACAACTTAACACTTATTGCACGTTATTCGAGCTTACAACTTTTTGCTTATATCTAAATTGCTCTTAACACGACAACACTCTAACTAGAACTGTTTGTGCTGCACGATCTTGCAGCCCTTACAGTACATCTTTAATAACTCTTCGCTTCTAGAATGTTCTGGCGACTACGAATTCGCTGTCTAGTTGCTTCTGGCAATTTATCGGATTCGATTTTGTTTTATCCTCCGTGCTCGTCACAATATATAACCATTTACCTATCTCCATTAGTTTTAGGTCACACAAACAACTGCTAGGTGAACAAAACTATTATACTCTGTAGCAATATGTTGCAAGAGTCTAAAAATAATTGATATTATTGATTGAAAATAACCTCATGAACTGAAGTAATTGGATCACATAATTAATGAGCTCAGTAATTGAATAACAATTACTTTCAACTGCATATATTATAGGTACTATATATAGGGTGGGCAAATACGGAGGCTACTGAAAAAACTAAATTAATTAATCGTAATATTTGTTGTAACAATGAAGAGTATCAGTTAGTATCTATGCAAAAATTAAATAAGTATTGTATTCTTAAAATCAACTAAGCTAATTAACTAAAAAGTTGGTTAATATTGCACCGTTACTATGAAGATAAAAATTACTTTCATGGATTAAGAAGGAGGGAATCATCAAAAAAAGACTTAATCTCATCAAATGGCTTAGATAAAATTTGTTTATACTCCCGCAACATGTTGCTACAGAGTATAATAGTTTTGTTCACCTAACAGTGGTTTGTATCACCTAAAACTAATCGAGTTAGATATAGGGTTATATATATATAAATGATCTGGATGAAGAGATGGAATGTGTGTAATCGGTCCTCGAATTTCCGCAGCTTACATGTCTTTTTATACTCCTCAATACAGTTGTAATGCATTCTATGTAAAATCAATTAATTTTACTGTGAATGTTAATGTAACTGTAACTGAGGCAACAGTTCCTACTTCTTATTATCATAGTATAGAAAGAAATCTCAAACGAGTGTACCATTTGACTTTGCGAGAGTATAAAATGTTACCTCCGAACATAGCCCTACCTCACTTGTTTAATAATATTTTATCTTAAACATACCTCGGAAAAGTTTTCATAGAGGGATTTACTCATTTCTTCTCTTTTTCTTCAAATTGAAGGTATTATTTAACATAGTAAGAGTGATCCAAGTTCGGTCAAATATGCAACGTTTAGTTGGATAACGTCTTGTTCATGCTGCTCTCATAGAAACCCTCTTCCCTATTGCCAAAACGCTGGGCCAGTCGATTCTTACAAGCTTCTATTGAGGAGAGTTTTTAACCAGCACAATTATTCGCCAGAAACAGGAGCAGGTAATAATTATTTGACGTCAGGTCCAGTTGGATAATGTGGAAGCACACAAACATTCCAACCAAGCTCCGGAGTTTCTGTCGAGTCACTATAGATGTATGTGGCCTAGTTGTCCCGATGAAACCCAGTCTCCCTTCAAGTAACCAAAGAATACCGTTTCTGGGAGATTTCCTCCTTTAGACAGTTTTGTTGCCAGTACAAGTCCTAAGTAACAGCTAGCTCATAGGGAGCAGATCATGTTACAGTATCAGAACCATAAACCTTAAAATCTATTCATATTTTTAGTCGTCTGGTTACGTTTTCGCCTTTATCAAAAAAAAAATACAAAATTGGATCAATTTTTTTTTCTGGTGTCCATCTTTGACACATGCTCAAACAATACTGAGTCAAGCAATCAGAAAACTCTCTGAAAAGTTTTTTTTTTATTTTTGTATATTGTATTTTTACTTATACAACGCGATGCAGATTACTAAAGCCATCTAAAGGACCACAAAGTGGCATAGCCGCTGTGTTTGACGGTAATGAGACAGCATGATTATTGAAGACAAATATTTCACGACTAATTCCTCTTGCTAAATTAAAATTATATCCACCGCTAAAAAAAATTATAATAGTTTCTTTAAAAACGGCATTAAAGTATAAAATGGTTTTATGAAAAACCAAAAATGTAAGGTTACATCCCAGCAGCAACAGCGGATCAAAATATTTACTTTAAAAAATAAATGTATAATTTGCATAAAAATTTGACATCTTTATGACCTGAAAAAATTTTTTTATTTTGCTTGAAATAGCATTATATAGTAAGACTTAATTATACAGAAAGCTCCGCGCTGTTTTCTCTATCACAATTTTTCTGCGTAGGCTTTAATTTCTATACGATTTTGTTGTATGTATATTTAAATAATTTTTTCATAAAATTAAATATTTAAATTATTCTTTGTCTTGGGCTGGTTTAATTGGACATAACAGAGATGTAATAAATATAATGAAATTAATACTGTATTTCATACACTAGAAAGTAAGGCAACAGTGTCAGCATTATCCACGAAGAAATACACTTATTACTATATATGCATTCTTATTAACATGGTATATTCCCATACTTGACACAAGTATATAGGTCGAACGGATATTACGAGCGCTACTACTACTCTCAAAGATGCCCCGAAGTAGTTATTATAATAAATTTATAATTAACACAGAAAATGACTACACAAGCAGCTGCATACTTTGTGCATTTCATTATAGGATAAGTGAACATATTATGAACTTCGTCCGAAGCTGTGCACGAACAGCCACAAGCACGCACATACGCCAACTGTCGGATTTCACTTTCATTCGAAAAAATGGCGACGTGGCATTAAAGCAATAACAGGAGAGCCATGTGGAGAAGCGATAGCAAGCGCGAAGCGTGTGCAACAGTATGTGGCGGAAACTGTTGCTTACGACAGAGGACAGACAGGGAAAAATAGCAACAAAATACAACAGCAACCGCCATGCGACATTGTGGTATGATTGCTACTTATTTCAAGGTATCGCTACAGCTGTTACGCCCTCCCACTTATGCTTCATTTTTATCAACCTCTTCTTCACTGCTTCCTGCCGCTTAACAACTTCTTGGCATGGCTTTCCTTTTCTCACTCACACTCTCTTTCATGCTCCCGTAACACACCAAGCGCTTCGCCACTATGTCTGCGAGTATGCCCTTCAACGAAGTTTCCTTGCGCTCGTGTTGCACGTTCGCTACTGGAAAAAGCAAACAAATATATTTAAAAAAACCGCTTGGCACACAGCGCATTTGCTGCACGACACGCCATGTTGCACGCCTGCCAAGCCAAGCGCAGCGACAGAAACAGGCTGATGCATTCATCATACGCCCTGGTTGCCCGGGTTGCCTGAATGGTACTACACTCTAGTTACCAGGGATGGCCGTGCGCAAGTTCGTACACAGGATGCGGAAATAAGAAAGTGCATGAAAAACGAAATTACTTTAAGTTTAGTTCGGCTACGTGAAATATTTCAACTGTAAATTAAGGCAGAATATTGTGTTTGAAAATTTACTTCGTGCATAAAAAATCCTAGTAAAATATGTCAAGCAATTTAAATTTCAATATTGCTATGTCAAAGCCAAACAGAACGCAAATTAATAAGCAGGAATATAATAATTATAGTAAAGAAATCTGCCTGAATCGGCTGAAAACTGAAAACTCACAGACGCAGTGATTTAAGGATTCATCTGGCATTAAGCCTGAATTAAAAAAAAATCCATTTAATGCAATATTGAAGTAATGTCAAAAATTTTAAAAAAGTCTATCCTGTAGAGGAGAAGTAGTTGTTTTACTGAAGATCGCGGTAAAATATTTACCTCAGGTAAGCCACTTATTTATTTTATCGACACTGAAAAAGTGAAAAAAATTTGTACTCGCAAATCGCCATGTAAGTATTAAGGCTTACAGAAGCAAAGAAGAAAACCGAGATCTTAAGGAACCTAAAGTACAAACCAAATTTGGATGAATTCTAGACACACTTCTATTGATGCGAATGAGGATACTTTGACGGTGCTCGAAAATAATTTAGTACATATGTAATTAACCATGTGTGCGTTATACACTGAGCTAGACTGTCAGCTGCTCTTCTCTGTATTGTATACAGTTTAGTCAAGTTCCCTCTACAATAGCATATGTGATGTTATTCTAACAGATGAAATGTTGTTCATTATTACCAAAAATAAGAAAAAAGTTACCTTCGATTGCACCAACAAATAATAACATTCACAAATACAAAAGATTCGTTACAATAACTTGATTCCGATCGTTCAGTTTGTATGGCAGCTATATGCTATAGTGGTCCGATAGCGGCGGTTCCGACAAATGAGCTTGGGGAGAAATGGAAGTGTGCAAAACTTCAAATCGATGGACGGACATGGCTAAATCGACTCAGTTTGTCATGCTGATGATATAGATATATATATTTTAGGGTCACCGACGTTTCCTTCTGCGTGTTACAAACATCATGGGGTGCCACAAACTTAATATATCCTGTTCTTAGTATAAAAATGATGACAAGTAAAAATAAGTCTTAGAATTTAAAGTGAAATTCAAGTCAGACTTGCAAATCAAATATCGGGACGATTTGTAAAATTCTCATTATATCTTTAAAAATACCCTTACTTGAAGTCAAGATACTGCACAGAAGCTTGAACTAGGAAAAAAATACAATACACTACAATAGGTTCAGGTTTATTATGACCTCAAAACAGACATTATGGATCTAAGTTAACCATAGAAATGTACGAAAAAACAAAGTAATTGAGATTGGAAATAAAGATAAACAAATAACAATTTAACCACAAATTCAATCGCAGTTCTAATCGGTTATCATTTCAACTTAAAAAATTATGATAACGGTTATGGGGGGGCGATATACCTATTTAAAAATATTCACTACGTATAGTACTTCCCAATTAAGTTGAGATAGTCCCCATGAAATCGGATAACGCACAACGAATGAGTATGATTCATTGTTACGAATCAGTTAATACAACATACTTGTAACTAGGGCACAACTGTACATTTCTTTAAAAATCAATAATTGAAATGGCGAATTTTTTCGAAGCGGTTGTCAGAGCATATGATATACAAATTACTTGTAATTTTGGACAAATATCTTTTATACATACTATATCCGTTTATTATGGAAAACGACACCAACTTTTTTATTTTTTATACTTTTGCAACATGTTACTGCAGAGTATGTTATAATAGTTTCGTACTCCTAACGGTTGTTTGTATTACTTAAAACTAGTCGAGATAGATGTACGGAGATATAAAACAAATCAAGCATCAATGAATTTATTGGGACATAATTTTTACGAATAGTGCTTTTAAGGTGTACCACCTTATGTTTCCCTTTGTGAGTAAAAAGGATAAAGTCGGATGAAAACTTGCTCCTTATATTATATATGGGTGATGGTATGTAAGGTACCTTAATAAAACTCAGAAAGTTTTTTTTTCTGTTAATAATATCTTTAGTACCCATATACGTAATATTACGAATTACCCCTAATGATTTTTGTTTTTCTAACAAACTTTATGCCGACTTTGTCGGTCAGTATATGAGTTATATATATATATTAGGGTGGAGCAAAAATGAAATTTGTTTTTGCTTAACCAGAGGGTAAATTTGTAAATTATATAAAAAGATCATTTTTTGGACAAACAAAAAAAATTTTTGTTTTAACATTTTATATATCTCAGTTTTAAAATAAATTTTCAAGTTAAAATTCTTATTTCGTAAAAATTTTTTGATAAGTGTTTTAGAAGCTGTGAAGAGTCCTCTTTCTAGCCAATTAAAAGTTATAAACTTAAACAAAAAGTTTGTGGTCATTATTGGAGTTTTAGAAAAAAGTCTTAAACGACAACTTGCTTTCCTTACGCGTAAAAATAAATTTTGAGTCAAAAACCGTCACATTCGGTAATTTTTATATAAATGTAAGAAGTTTAAACCAAAAATAATTTTTTTTGTCCAAAAATTTACTTTTTTTATAATCTAGAGATTTATTATCACGCTAAGCAAAAAAAAAAATGTTTATCGCTCCACCCTAATATGTATGAGATATTTTTGGAGTTGATTTTAAAACAATTTCGCTTACGGTGAGTAAAATATAATTATAAAACTAAATGAGTATTCAACATACAATATATTATAATTTAATATGATACCAAATTGGATTGTAATCCAATCAGGATTTCGACGATTAAGGAATGTTGAATTCTTTTCCAAAATTTTTTTGAATAAAGTTTCGCCTACGCCTAAAAGTACTTCCCCGGTTTTGATCTCTACAAGTTGCAAGAGTATTAAACGTTCTGTTACACCTGAACTTAGCTCTACCTGACTTGGTTTTTTTTTTTCATACAAAAAATGCACTTCAGGTTTTTTGTTAATAAATTGGGAAATAGTAAATAACTCGCTTATAATTAATTTCTTTATTTAAAATTTTTTTATGAATACTTACTGTATAATTTTAAAATATTTTATGCAGTAGTTTTTGTTAAGAAAAATTTTTAAAATCACGTATTTTAGGTGTGCTGCCTTAAGGCCGATTTTCCCACAAATTCATTTAATTCACATCTCAGCAGATAATTCACATTTCAACTATCAATTAAAAGCCTTTGACTTTATTGCATGTATATTTTTTTTACAATTATTGTGAGCTTTAATTACAACTCATCTCAGCATTTACAGTTGCCTTTGAGGAGAAAATTGTTCGCGCCCAGTAAATCTGAATATTTAAATGCATAAAAAAGCGAAAAAAAGATAAATCGCCTCACATGTGCACTTCAAATGAGTACTTTGTGATGAGACAAACAAGGGAAAGAATTTAATTACAATGAAATCAGGAGCCGTGTCTTACACTAGACAGCCAAGCATATGAATGCAGACAAACGAATGAACAACACACATACATATTTATGTATGTATGGTATATATACATGTGTCTTCAATACATTTACGGCTGTGAGGCGGCGATAAGAGCGTGTTAAAGTGGTTTCTGTTGCTTTATTAAAACCTTTTCTTATAATTACAGCGTACTTAGCCGTCAACAGCAAACTGTAAGTGTGTGTATGTAAGTATGAGTTTAAACAGGTGCTTGTGTGCGCCAACAAGAAAATGCAGGTGAATAAGTGCTATGTGTTGCTGCTTGTGATTTTCAAGCTTGTTTGTGAGCATATGTAAGGCGTGTAACTTCAGCTTCAACGGATTTATGCAATACTCATTAAAAAGACGGTAAACGCAGTGCCGTTAAAGGCAATGAGGAACAACATGGCCAACAAAAGCAGCGAGTGAGACCACGACCGACGACGACGATGACGAGAATGAGAACACAATACACATACATGAATGTGTGCATATGTACATGTGTAAGTGGCAAAGCCAAAGATGGTTGCGAATGGGAGTCGAGGGCGTTGAACGTACGAAAGCGAAGGGGTGGAGGCGTGTAAGAGCGTCTGCATGTATGGTAGTAGAATGTCAGCGACGCTGATAAGTTGACAACAAAAATAAACTGCATGAAGACTTGGAGACAAGCACAACAATGCACACATACAGGCACACATTTCGCTTTCATACATACACACACACATATACGCATTTAAGAAAGACACGTCTACTGAGGCGCGCTGATGTGCTGCCTGCCCTAAAATGAAGTGGTCTGCGCACAAAAACGCGGCTTTGTCGCTTGAATGGCTGGCTGCAGCTTGCTTGTTAGCGCGACTGACTTGTCCTGAAAGTGTGCTCGTGCTTTTGTGCTTTTATATGTGTATATATGTATGTGTGTCTACGTGTCAGTTGAAGTATACTTTAAAGTTTGTTTAGCAGCTTAGGGGGTGGCTTGTTTACAGGTTTGTTTATTTTTGTTGACGTTAAAAATATGTTCTTCTTAAAATGTTAACATTGGATACTTTAATGACTACACTCGTGATTACATAGCTTGCGTACATGGTATTTTTATGAGTGTATTTGTTATTGTGTCGCATAAAAATGCATTGTGGAGTGTCAACACTATACTCAAGGTGCAGTAATTTTCGTACTGGTGTTGCCATGGTTCGTTTGAAAAGTATTTACATTTTAAAATAATTAAAAAGAGATAGTTCAAGAAAAAATCAGTAAATTAAAGCACATCGCTCCATCAACTATAGTATATATTATATATTCTGGATATGGCTTAGACCAGCCATAAGTTCAGATACAAGTTTAGACTTCTATAAAGATAAAATTGTATAACATGTTTTAATAAAGTTAATTTGATTTAATAATGCATACATTAGATAATCGATCAAAAAAATTTGATGAAAACCAAAGATTTGAGACTCGTAAAATTTCTATGATGCAATCGAGGGACCATGTTCTTCAACTCTGATCACAAACTGTAGTCCAATGGATACAAACCCATACTTCTAGACGGCCAATCACCTCCTGCTGTGAAACCGGGAATATATTTTTGAGCTACAGCCGGGTGATTTTTGCATTGCATGCTGGGAAGAATCATGAATAACAAAAAAATGCTTTCCATCGAAGAGATGATGCTTTATCGCACCTTCTAAAACCTCGAGCTGGTGCACTTTTCCCCAGTTCCCAGGATGGAAGTTTTTCCGTAGATTTTGTAAAAAAGGATAATTTCATGGTCGTTGACCGTGTGCTACTGAAGAAGCGGATTTCATCTGTTGAACCTAATGTGCTTCAAGAGCATTGTCAGAAGATGGCCAGTTGACTGACGGTAGGCTTTCATGTGGAGATCATCTTGAATAAGTTTTAAGATAGACCTGGTCGATATATTCATTTCCCTTGACATAATTTTTTCATTTTCTAAGGATATTTTTGGGATTGCATTCACGAACAGTTTTTATGGCTAAATTGGTTCGAACCACGTGTGGAAGACCACTTCACGAACAGTTTTTATGTCTAAATTGGTTCGAACCACATGTGGAAGACCACTTCTACTAGTATAGTCGAGAAAAATAAGGAATATTCTGTCATAGGGAGAAAAAATGGGATTATTATTGGCGATATAATTAGAATTTTAACTAAAGAAAGAGCTTTCCATAGGCAGCATTTTTTAAACGAAATCACGTCTTCAGCTAGCAGTCTTCAAATGTTTATCTCATTTCGGTAAATGGATAATTGATTTATTAAAATGGGTCTCAATTTTAAGTGAAGCGAATTTTAGTCGAAATAATCAGACTGTATCTGTATACTTATACTGAAAAACATCAATATTCCTGACTTGCACTAAATTAAAATTTCCATGTATTACAGCTTGAACAAATTCTTATAATTAGCGTTCCAATTTTTGATTTCAATAGTTTCTTCCAGGTGAAAATACCCTCTAGACGTGAATAGTGAAGGGGAGGATATGTCAATGTATACTGACGGATCCAAAATGAACTGCAGTTTAGAGACGGGGGTATATTCCCAGGATCTTGATATCCGTCTTCCAAAATCAGTTAGCATCTTCCAAGCAGAAGTACTAGACATGGAAAAGGCCTGTGGTGTTCTACTGAAAGAAACAGAAAGCTACCATTTACGCAGACAATCAGGCGGCATTGCTAGCCTTGTCGTTGCCAAAGATTAATTTCACATTTCAAGAATATACAGCGATATTTAAAAAAAAAACTTTTCTTGAGTTATACGAGATCTCTGACGGCGCTTAAAAAATAGGGTCCTCCATTGCTGCAGTGATTCCGGCCTTCTTAGTGAATAAAGCCTAAAAATTAAATATGCTCGTTTAACTAGAAGATATTCTCCGTACAATGAATGACCTACGATCAAAAAAACAAATCAAAAAAAGTTAATTTTACACAAAATTGACTGAAACAGATAGGCCATTGACTGTAGAATGATATAAAGAACAGGGAGAAACAAATTTCATAATAATCGGATCATTTGCCTTCGAGTTATCTTTGCAGCAAATTCGAAAAACGCATTTGAAGATAAACTAATTGATTGAACTGAGTGGCTACACTTTAGAAGGCTGTAACTCAAAAAACATTTGAGATATCGATTAGAAATTTTGATCGTTTTTTTTTAATTTCACACTATGTGTGTCCCTTATACAGAAATCCAAAACTTACTTCAAAACAAAACAGAGTAAAAAGTTATTTTGACCTCAAAACTCGAAATTCAAAGCAAGTATGTTTATACGGCAACAGCTTGCTCAGAAATTAGAAGCTAAGGGTCGTTATACATGTAACTGTTTACTATCACGTAAGCGCTGCTGAGGTTTTCCGAAACCTTATCAATTATTTTAGGTACTTTCTAAATTTATCTTAAGCTAAAATTTTCCTACTGTACAAATGTTTTAATAAAATAATATTATATAGCATTATATGTATATGTGGCAACTCAGCCACATTAATGTTCACACAACTTCATATTTTAAAGTCAAACACCTATTTTCTTAATTCTTGTATACCTTTGTGTTGCGTAAAGTACTCAGCACATTCGCACTTTTGTTAAATATTTGCTCTTCCACGCATGTTTATCCACCGAAGACCGTCTGTATTTGTCATTTGTTTATATGTATTCAGTATACATATAATGTAAATATGTGTTGTAAGACAATTTTCTGCTTTCCTTGTCATCACTGAAGTATTAACTCGTGTAGAGACGTGTGAAATTAATGTCTGCCCAAAGGCAACAGTCGCAATCTCAACGCCAAGCTTCAACCTTAACGGCAGCATGTTAATTAAACTCCAACTTTGACTGCGCCTGCTCATCGGGCATCGTCCATCTGCTGCCTTTCGTGCTTCATTTTCTGGCACCTACGAGTTTTTTGTTATGCCTCTCTACTCATTATTGCTCCTCATTTCAGCGTACACTTGGCTCACACATACACACATACACCGCATGTCCAAGTCGAGAAATAGGCTCCAGTATGGTGTTGGTGCCCACGTAGGAGCAGGCGCGTGGGCAGAATATTATGTTAATATATTCATGAACATATGTGTACATAAATAAGTACATGTATGTGTGTGTGTTAATAATGTTGACTCTTTATTACATACATCCTCCTTCTGTGTATTTCATTTTCCGTAAGCTTCAAGTCATTATGCGTTCAAGTAATGACCTTTCCAGCACACGGAAATGCAAAAAAATTATTAATGATAAATACAGACACATGCATACCTGATCTCGTTAATAAAATAATAACTTATTGTCTCTTATTATTAATAAATAATTATTTTACTAAAAATATTAAAATAAATGGTCATAAATATAGTAATGGAAGTTACAAAACACCAAAATTTTTGATAAGACTCGTCAAGAGTAGATTCCCAGCGATTACTTTTCAGTCAAGCAAATCAATCAATTGCATAAGAAATTCCCAACCAAGCTCCCGTAGCATCCATCTGGCGTTATTCTGATGGAATGCAATTCCTCTCCTATTGGCCGAACTTGGCCGCTTCTAGGGGACTTCATTCTTCAGATGGCCCAAACTGTTGATCAATCAATCAATCCTCAATCCTTACTACCATATGCACCGGCTCACGGCGATTTTGACCACGCCGCTGTCACTTGACGCCTTATTATATGATATGCACAGGTTCCTGAGCAATCGATACAGTGCTTTTATGACGGTCAGACTTAACGATTCTTATTATTTTATCGATATTTTCCTAAAATTGAATCCGAATTGCTCAAAGATTTAATCCGAGATGACTATCGAGAACTAATTGAGCTTTCAGTGGTATTTTTAGGTAGAGATAAAAATCGAAAATTAAAATTCAACACCGCCCACCTTTACATGCAATCCTTTACATGAGGAACTACTCGACCGATTTTCAACAAATTTGGGCAAAACATTATCCTGACTTTATTTTGTAATTTTATGAAAATGGCTTATTTCCAATATTTTTCAATTTGAACCGCGCAATTCCATAACATGTGGGATGGATATTTAAGATTATTTTCCATCCTCGACATCGCTTCGTTAATTATCATAAATATCTAACACTCCTGTTGGGACGTTATTTAAGCACACATTTGTTATGTTTAACTAAAGTGTGTGAACAGTATCGTTTACCGCTCGTCGCAACACCGACCCAAAATACATACAATATTTATGAGGAAGAGTGCAAGACATTATGCATAGTATATGCAGGTTAGTAAATATATATGTATGTAATATATAAAAACGTAAATGTATGTATGTATTTGTGAGTGACGCTCCTTGCTAAGAATAGATGTGTAACATTTATGCAACGGAACCGAAAAGCAGCACCAAATTAAATTAATTACCACATAATTGGTACGCGCCAAATTTCTAGCGGAACTGTACGGCTCATAAAGTACGCGCCAAATGTTAACCGTTGCAGGGGCGAAGGAAGAGGATGGGACGGCGAATGAGTGAACTGAAAAGCTAGCGAGTAAATTGCCACAAACGCTTTTGCCACATTACCCACACGTTGCACGCCACTTTACCGACCGCCATACGGCGTAGCCAACCACATGCGAAAACCAACAAGAACAACAGCACGCAAAATAACATCACCATTATGGCGTCGCGCCTGCTCAACACCCCTAATGACCGATAGAATAACGTTGTCGGGCATTTTGTTAAATTTTTAGGATTCCTACGCTTCGCTATGGCGGCACCCCGGGTGCTTCACCGCGCAGAGCGGGCGAGTGAGAGTGAGAGTACTCTCTCAGTACTGCCGCTATTCCATAACTACTTTCATAAATTGTTTTTAAGAGACCATACCATTACCGTAGTTGATTTTGTAGTAGCTGTTGTTGTTGTTGGCAACCAAGTAAATGCATTGCGCAAATTTTTAACGCGCCAAAGGAAGCGACGAGCAATTGCGTTGGCGACGGCAACTAAACGACAATAGCGCCGCTGGTCGCTAGCGAACAAAGACGGCAAATTGGCCCGACCTGCAGTGGCGTCATGGTCTACGCGGTGGATATACTCTCCACACTGTGTCGTGTTGCTGCCTTGGACTGCCTTTTGTACCCTGTTGTACGTACTGGACTAACAAGCAGGAAATATTGTTGAATATATATGTACATATGTTTAATGGCATACATATGTAGGGATATACATACATATGTACACCTATTTACTACTTCGGCGCTTGCCGCAAAATTATTAGCTCACCCTATATTCTGTGCAGTACATAAATTAAACGTTATCATTATTTAAGCTTCTCACTACATTTTTCTATTACAACAAAATTTATTAGATTTTTCACATAATTTTAACAAAATTATAAAGGAAGTGATAAATATGTTGTAATTAATTCTCAAGGAAGTAGTAAAGCAAGTAAAACAATATTTCGCCATGGGATGGTTGTGTTAGCAGTGCATGCGAAGCGTGGAGCTTACATACAAGCGGGTAAATTGAACCGAAGTTATTTCTGTAGAGCAGTGGAATTTGTTAATTTTCTAAAACACGATTGCTTTAGCAGAGAGTTAAAAAGAGAAATTTCAACAAATAATTTTTTTCATGTCAATAATCGAAAATGGACTTAAGGAGTAGAATCACAAAAACTAGATGGCCAGTTAACTGAATCATTTATTTTATATGGCATGTTGTCATATTGGATCACCTTTTAATGGTTGTAAGAGTTTTAACTGCTTACAGTCCTATCGGAATCCACGCAGTAAGATTGAACATCTTACCTCCGCCATGGCGAACGATCCGTTATCTAACCTAACCTATCCTAACCTTTCATACCACCACGGACAGTGGATATTGCTGAGGTGAACCAGAACTTAGCGTACCTTATAGCGCTCTCCATTTTTAAAAGGAAGTCATTATTCGAGGTGTGAAAGTATTACATTCATAAATTATTAATATTTATACTACATTAATTATGTTAAAACCAACTAAATTAACTCAAATGATATATACATAAGTGAAATAAACTCAACCAAAGAAGCTAAATTCATAATTCTATAGTTTTGTGTATGTATTTTAGGAAAATCATCGACTAGAGAATAAAAATCACTATATTAGGAATATGAAGTTTAGAATTAGATCTAGAATAATTTTATTAAAGTAGCTCTCATATTGCACGATATAAACGATTTAAAGTAAATCACACTATCGGGTATATTGGGGATAGTGAAAGGTTTAAACTAATTGAAATAACGTTAGGACTTCACGTTATTTTGCAAATATAACTTAAAAATTAATATAAATCGGCATAAAGTATGCTATAATAACGACAAACATTATACTTGTATATGTCATATGAAAGCTGGGGTAATTTGAGGATCGATTTTACACACTTTCTGCATCAAACTGTAGTATATCGAATATTATATGTTTACTTAATTTTGCTAAGACATCTTACTGTTATATGCGGTATAAAGCCAACCGGAAGCTGAAATTCTTATATTAGGTATATGGAAGCAAGGTTAAGTATTGACCCGGTTTTATCAATTCAATCACGATATACTATTACCAGAAAAAGATGTTCGCAACCTTTCAAAAAGAAACCACACATACTGACGCATATATATGGCACAAAGTTAATTGGATGCTTAACCATTATTATATTAGGTATATGGAAGCTAGGGGCAGTATTCAACCGATTTGATCCATTTTAGGCACAAGAATACACTGTTATTAGAGAGAGATGATTTTTTAGTTTAATAAAAATAACTCACATGTTGATCGACATATACGGTATAAAGTCAACTTGAAGTTCGAAAGTCTTTATATGGATTCTAGGGGTAGTTTTTACACCATTTAACCCTTTTTTGCACAAA